CTTCTTTTTTTTCCTTACAAGACAAACAACGATAAATAAATATAGAGGAAAACATTGACTGGAAATAATAAAATTGCAATAATCTATTTTAAAGGCATATATTTATATTGTTTATTTTAACATTGACATTGATTGCCTTTAGCTTGTTGATCATTAACTGTAAGTCTTGTCGTTCCTCCTTTATTATATCCACCTGGTTGACTACCATAACCAGCATTTGCTTGTCCAGTGTTATTACCACTTGGATCTTCAGGTGCATCAGACATTTTTTCTAATATTATATCGACCAATCTGAATATGAAACGAATATATACATATATATATCTTGAAAATTAAAATATTATTTAACCTTTCAAAAACAGCTTTAACATTAATATTTTCTTTTGCTGAAGTTTCAAAAAATTCCAAACCTAAAAAATAAAACAATATATATATATATATATCATTGAAAAAAAGAAATTTGTTTTTTTCTAATAAAAATAATTGTACGAAAGAAGAAAAACCTTACCGAGATCTTCGGCAAGTTTTTTTCCTTCTATCGACTGAACAACTCTCTCGTTTGCCATATCACATTTATTACCAGCCAATATAACCGGGGTTTTTTCCCATGAATGTGTCTTTATCTGTAGAACCCTTTAAAAAACAATACATACAACACAACATATATAAAGCAAAACCCGAAAGAAAAAAAAAAGACATTGATAACAAGACGATTTCAAGCGTACATTCAAGATACAATATTTATTAATAAATTACCCAATTGATCTGCAAGACGTTGGCCTCGTTCTTGTGTTACAGCTCTATCCTGGTCTAAATCGCATTTATTTCCAACTAAAACAACTTGTGCATTATCCCATGAATACATTTTTATTTGTGTACACCTGAAAATAATTGCACATGGTTCTTTTCTTTTCAATATATATATGTGAATGTACGCATGGAATTTATGTCATTGAATTATCTAAAAAGCAAACGAATTTTTCATCGATTTTAACTTACCAGTCTTGTACAGCATTAAATGATTCTTCATTTGTTATATCATACATTAAAATAAAACCCATCGCACCACGATAATAAGCAGCTGGAAAAAAAAAGAAATTTATAGATCATAGAATATGAAAAATTAAATATTTTACTTGTTATTGTTCGATAACGTTCTTGACCA